GCACCAAGTTGGTTAGAATTAGTACTACGACATTATTACTTTCAATAATGGACTTCCGAAGTAACATACATAGCAGTCATACATCACCCTGCTTCTATGAAACTTGTTGTTTTGATTAGATACTCTCATACTCGTATACAAATTCACTCCCAGGTTGATATATCATATTTTTAAGCCGTTAACAATTTATTCCCAATAAGCGTAGATTTTGAATCCAATAACCTAGAGCAAATAATTGATTTTAGCATGACCTTTTATTCTCTCTTTAATCTATTAACCACATTGTTGAACTGACAAGTCAAAAACCTCAAATTTAACCAAACTTCCACAATTTGATACGATGGTAAAAACCTTGTATTCGACCTATCTTTTGGCTCTTCAGCTTAAAATGAGAACATTTCAGATAGGAAAAGGAAAATAAGTCAGCAGAATAACAACAAAAGGAAATGAACAATTAAAATATGTTGTTATGAAACTGACTTGTCATGATTATTAATGTTGCTCAACAAGCTTTTGAATGTATGACCTAGAGGGGTGATGAATAGGTTCGTAGTTATGAAGTTGATCGTATGAGTGGGTGTGCACAATAAAGTACATGTACTTCAGGCACAAGTTATACAATGGATAAATTAAGGGAGTAGATAAAAGGGAGAATCTAGTAGAGAGACACGTGCGTGGGGCCATGCCCATTACCCAAGCTCGGGCTATTCCCATGTCCACCAGCCAAGCTCGTGTCTAGATCTGTTCACTAGTATATAATCCTTTTCCCAATGGAGAAACATTTACAAAGAGTCTTGGCTTCCTTAGCTAGATTTGGTGGGACTATAAGGCATGATCTCGTGTTACCCAACCATGAATACCCGAGCCTAGTTGCTGAAGCTAGCAAGATACAATCTATCAACTCAGTAACCAATCGGAACCTATGATTACTCTCAACCCTACTACGTGCTGCCAAAGTGCAAGACTCCTCGGATAGGTAACAACACATTAGAGTATGAAGATGTGTTACGTATATGGCTCTTGACAAGTGGATTATACAACATGGAGCTCTATAGCCAAGTGTCCTTTTCAAGATGTAAGAGATCAAACTGATATATTTATACTAACATGTGTATTTTCTCTTCTCACTGTTAATCTTTTGTAGTCTGTTTATATTCTTGGAATAAAGCAAGCTTAAGAAATATAGCATTATTCTATGACCCTACCTCGGGTGGAATGTACCTTTGTTCGTTAGGTTAGGTTTGGTTAAGAAATATAGCATTGTTCTCGACTAAGATGAACTCCTATATCTTTCAGTTCTTCTGGAATGTTAAGATATTCCCCCTGTTGTTGGGGAAGTGCTCACATATAGAAAGTCAAAAACCTCAATGACCGTTGCTCAAACTTACTTATAACATCCCTTGATTAGGCTGTCATTGATGGTGGTAGCCTAGTTTGCTTCTAATAGTTGGTTGTGCATTTTGTTCTTTCAACTTTTAGGGAGATGTCAACGGCTGAGCAGAAATTGACTTTCTATATGTGCCATATTCTAGGTTATGTTACATGTAAATCCAATTAAAATACTAAAGATTTTATATATCATAACTTGAATAATAGTTCTATTTCCTATGTAGAACCTTTGCCTTGTCTGTTCTTGAACTTCTAGCTTCTGAGATGCATACTAATAGTCAGCTTTATAAAGCTCAGTGAGTTCATGGTTTTTGTGCACAATCATACATATCTCATCATGCATAAAACAAACAATACCCCCGAATACAATAATATGCACATTTGTTTCAAACCCTTTTGAAATAATAATGAGATCACTTAATTTTTCTTTGGGTTAAGGTTTTACCATCATCGGCACTTCCCCGGGTTACACGGCTATCCCTTGTCCGGTCACCCATCCCTTATGACTTTTGACCCTCTCCCATACCCGACAAAATATTAATTCTTTTATAACATGCTAATAATGTTTAAAAACACATAAACAAATAGCATGCAACCCACAATATTAATTCATATACATGTAGTAAACCCATAAACATGTACATAAAAAAATATCGTAATACTCAAATAATTTGTATATAAGCATGCATCCCAGTTAAAGTCTCATGAATACTCACATGAATAGATCCGCTAGTTAAACCTTGTCCCTGAGTAATATCCTATAACATGTAATTATATTTCAATAATTAGAGTATTGACTTTTCCCCAAAAAATCAACATGAAAGTCAAATGGGTCAACTCCAAGCATACCTCGTCGCCATATATTCCCCTCCCCAATGGAATTTTTCACATCCATAAAAAATTACAAAGTATTAAACCCAACATTTAATTATATACGATTCTGGTTATAAAAACGTCTGCTCCCACAATTATCTAGCCACAACTCCCGCATTAAGTTATTAAATTATTTCTTGTAATTTAAATATGAAAATCCAATTAATTAATAACTTTTACAATTGATGTCCGATTCTTGACCAACTTAATCAAAACTTCCCCGATTTATTTTGATTAATCCAAGTAAATAAATGAGTCTCAAATCTTTTTTTAACAAATACCGATTTTATCAAAACAACTCGAGTCAAACCGAACTCGACCGAAACAAGTCGGTCATGGCTTAAATTTGTTCCAGCGTCGGTCGGCTCAACTCGACGCCCGGCCCAACCCGGTCGTACCCTTGGTGCGGCTATCGTGAACGATCTTCGTTTGAGATATTTTTTCGATCGTTTTTCACCAAAATTTTTACAAAATATTATATAATAATAATAAATCCCAACTCGTACCCAAATTTACAGCCCCTACGGTTCAATATTAAACTCGTATTTTGAGTTTTTGTACCCGAATCTCGTCGAGCCGCCGCCATAACAACTTCTAACATAAACCGCTCGACGTACAAGCCACCATAGCCCATGAGAATTGTACCAACAGAAAGATAATTGAAAAACAAAACCAACCATATATTATACATCAATTTTGGTTGAGTATTTTATCTCCAATCGCCGTTTTTGTGCGGAATGACCCTATGCCGCTTCAAATTCGATATCTCTCTCGCTTATTGATGAAATCTCGAGATTCCAATGACGTTTACTCCCTTACACCCTTAAGACCGTCTCCACAAAAATTCAGTTGAAAATTCCAATTTATAGGGCGTCAAACCGTCTCTAGAATAGGAAAACGTGATTTGGGGAAATGATTGAAATGATTTCCCAAATCTCAATCATTTCCAAATTAGTTTTCTACTTTTGGCAGGACTAGTCATTTTTGTTTTTCTTTCTGCATTTTCATCCCAAATCATTTAAATACAAAATGTTTCATTTCCGTTTTTATTTATTGCAATAAAATCATATTTTTYGAGTATCGACACTTTAATCCCGTATGTCGTTTACTCTTTAAATTTTAACCCTTAACATTTATTTATTTTACGAATMATAAATTTTTAGGGTGTTACAAATCTCCCCCACTAAAAAGGGATTTCGTCTCCGAAATCAATCTCCGTTGAACAATTACGGGTCCCATCTCCATTTTTTTATTCCAACATATTTTTAAAATCAAAGTTGTTGATTCGTCAACTAGTTTATTTGTTGGATTTCTATGTTTAATGATTAATTTTTACTTGAATGTTGATTGATTTGGCCAATTATTTGATGTTCATAAGAAGGTTTGCTAGTCAAAATCCTGGATGTGTAATTGTCAAGATATTTTGATAAAGTGACAATTGAACCTATTTGATTTTAATAAGGTGGGTTCTTGAAATCTTGCAATCAAAGTCATCTAAAGCCGGTTTTACGAGCTTATAACTTTGAATTTATGTTTTTCTTACCCGATAAAGTTAATTGCACCCAAGAGTTTAAGAGCTTGTTTAAACTCTTATTTGTGATTAAGATTTGATTAAAGAGCTTATTTTAATCAATGTTTAGTTAAGGAAAAACTTAGATTGTCAGAGTTTGTTGGCAATTTTAACCAATTTGGAATTGTCCGTTTTGTTACAAATGATGATAGGTGTTTGTATCTTTACCAAAGTAGACTATTGTTAGACTTTTAATTTCTTGAATTTTTATAATTATTTTGAATCATATGTTTAGTTCCCCTCTTTGCAATTTAAATTTACTTACTCGTATTTGTACTTGACATGACCAGCATTGACTGTTGAACTGAGTCATGTGGATTCGACCTTACTTATTGTTGTTGCAATTTTAATTGTTAACGAAAGGCTAGTTAGTTAATTATTATTTGGTGGAGTTGGTATCTGTTACTTGTTGGTTCAGATAAAAAGCACGGATGTTAGGGTTGTTGATAATGATAATGATAATGTTTTCACTACTCAACAGGAATTTTAGAAAAAGGTGAGGAAATTTTCTTTTGGTGGTGGTGGTGGTGGTCGGAGTTGAGGAATATCGGAAAATAAAAATAAAAAAGTTTAGTAAGCAAATAAGAATCAAAACAAACTTTGTTACATTAACATGTATTTATAGATGTCTTTTTTCTTTTTTTGAAAGATGAATATTATTATATGAAAAATAGGTTCAAATTAATGCAAGGCAATGTAATAGTAGTTAGTTATTATTACCCATCACTTTAATTTTGGATGCAATTCCTCAACAACCCACCCGGGTTGTGCCTACCCAACCAAAATGGCATTTAACCTCCTTAAACTACTTCACATGTATTGTTTTCCTTTCCCTTTAATGTATTTTGCATATTTTTTTCTTAAAAAGAAAAGAAAAAAACCAAGTATATTTATTTTAACTATTCATGTTAATAAAAGATATTACACTATTACTAGAAGAGTAAAAACAAACACCAAGTATATTTATGTTGATAAAAGATATTACATTATTATTATTATTATTAGAAGATAAGCAAAACACCAAGTACATGCACTTTTTGTGCAAGTGTCATTTAATTCCCCATGTGAGCCTAACAAAGGGTATTTGCGAAAATATAAACAAGCACAAGGGCAAAGCCAAAGCAATTGGACTATATATGTAATGTTGTGGTAGTAAGCCTTTACACCACCATATAATATAATTGAAATTGACATTGAAATTGAAAATGTCTTCGGTTGTGACAGATGAGATACGATCCAGTGCAAGCGAGGTCTACCATGGCGACAAAATCTGCAGACAGAAAACAAAGGTTTTGCTAACAGAAGTTGGGTTACCCAATGGATTGTTGCCCTTGGAGGACATTGAAGAATGTGGGTACGTCAAAGACACCGGTTTCGTTTGGCTCAAGCAAAAAAAGAAGAAGGAGCACAAGTTTGAAAAGGTGGGGCGTCTCGCTAGCTATGCAAACGAGGTCACAGCCTACGTTGAGAAATCCAAAATCAAGAACCTGACGGGTGTCAAAACAAAAGAGTTAATGATGTGGATCAACCTGAGTGAGATTAGTGTCGATGACCCACCCACCGGAAATATCACCTTCAAAGCCCCCACTGGCTTGTTTCGAACTTTTCCTGTCTCTGCCTTTCAAGTGGAGGACGATGATGAACAAAAACTTCAAGTCAAGGAGGTGTAATAATAATTAATGTCACCCTCCATCTCGATCATCTTAACTAATAACAAGCATGATTCTCGTATCTATCAATGTACGACAATTAGTACTTTTTAAGATGCAGTGATAAAAGATGTGGGCATAATTATGATGCATTTGTTATCAAACTTATTATCATATATGATTTTTATAATTAAACAATATATGATCAATCATCATGGCTTAATTAAAATTACAAAACTCAACCACAAGAGATTCGAAAATAAAGCTTTTCTCTTCCGTATTTGTGCTAATAAATATCGCCTTAAAACCCACACCACATCACGATCTCAAAGAATTAACAACAAATTGCATAAATCTAAAGGAAGTTGTAGATGTAAACCCATTTGAATCTTGTAAAGAGGAAGATGCATTGTATTACCGTTTTTATAGTACAGAACAGTACCTCTGCGAAGCCCAAACCTACCTTATCAAAATAGCATTTAAACCTCCTTAAATTTTCAAACAACTCCACGAGATCCTATTAATGTCACCTTCATAAAAGTATATCGTATCAATTCCATTTAATTCACAAATCAAACACATCCTAAACATGTACATTGTACAAGTACATAAAAAAATTTATTATTTCCTTCCAATGTTTAAATTTCTATGTTTTTATTTAAAAGATTATTATAAAAAGAGTATTACAATTTTTAATTTCTTCTTATACAAAATTTAGTAAATGATTTTTTTAAAAGAAAAAGTTCTTAAAAACCAGGTCACGATTTTTTACGAAATTGTTATGAATTATAATACGAAACAAAACATCTTATGAAATGTTACAAATAAAAACATTCAGAACATGTTATGCCACATTTTCTTTTCATTTTAGTTATCCTTAACTAGAATAATATGATGGGAATATTATAAAATATATATTTATTTATAGTTCATATTAATTAAAATATAATATAATACAACAAATAAAAAAATTAATTATTTGTATTAATTAAATTTAAAACAAATAGATTAAAAAAAACACAATGTCCAATTATCCTCCTCCTTCAAATGGAATAATTTCATTCTATTATATTGCTAAATATATTTCTACTAAATAATTTTTTCTTTATACACATCAATATTAGAACTCATTTTTTTACATACAATTTTACCTAAATTTGACCAAGATTATATAGCAATCCCCGTAATCTTTTCCATTGTACTATGATGAGGTTTTTCGTGTAGGTTCTTTATAGTTTTTCCATTCTGTCTCATCATCAATTCAACAACTTCAAAATATCAACATACTTCCACTCTATGAAAAACCTCACCTAAGTTTTTTCATAATTTTTCAGAGTCCCACCATTTTAATTTTATATCACTTATATTCCTATTTATAAAACTCAATGCATTAAAATTTATACAAATAAATATCTATTTATATCGAGAAAATATTATTATTTTAATCATGTATAAATTCTTATTATAGAACAATCANATATATATATATATATATATATATATATATATATATCTAACTTTTTTATTATATGAATATGTGATTATTGAATTTATTAATATATATTAATCAGTGTGATTGAAATGCGATAGATTCAAACCACATAAAATATATAACATCACATTTCACGATATGATTTATTTGAGTTTAAGACAAACACAATTTGGTTTGAGAAAGTTGCATATCCGGTAAACTTGCAGTTTTGAACCTAAACCATAAACATTTTTAATTCCCATTTACCAAATAAATAATATATATATATATATATATATATATATTTAAAAATAATTGAAATAAATAAAGAGGTATAAAAATGGTGTGAATGTGTCCACACCACACACAACTCATCTACCATCTTGAGGCTCACTTTCACTGGGAATTCTAAACCAGGGATGTCGATTGCCACTTGTCCTACTATCTCACTCTCCTCTGCATTGCACGTGACTTTGACATCCTCACTAAACATGTCTTTCGCGCGTTCCTCTATTCACGTCCACAAATGTTATGTGAATCTTTAGTCTTTTACAAGGTTAAGGATTTAAATCTTATCAAATGTGAAAATAGTATATGAGTTTATTTGTTTTATTTACCGTATATAAATATTATATATTTTAAAAAAAAAAGTTTAAAATAATAAACTTGGTAAGTTTATATTTTCAATTTTTATATGTTGAAAGTTATTTAAATTGAACAAAATAGTCGATCTTCTAAATTAAGTTTATTTTTAGTTATTTTTGGAACTAAATTATCATTTAAAATTCTTTTTTTTAATCTGAAAATCGAGTTTGTACAAATGCGTAAGACGTTTGTGTAAAGTGTGGTTAAAATGTGAATTTGATTGAAAAATGACTAAAAAATGATTTTGGTTGGGGAGGTTGATTGTTTGGTCAATTTCCCTTATTATAATTACCAAAAGTGTATCCATGCAATGCAACGCAGTTCAATCACGATTTTGCAGTTGAAAAGTAAAACCCTGAATCCTTTTTCATTCTTCTATCGTTATTGTTTCCTAAAATAACAAAATCTATGTATTACTGATTTGAACATGTTGTTTTTATATGTGTATCTTTGAAAAATTAAATTTGCAATGATGATTTGAGGTAATTCTGTATGCACCTTTTTTATGTCAAAGACATGCATTGAGAATGTAAAAAGTAAGCATTGATACTGATTTGTGTCAAAAGGAAATTAGTATATAAAAGAGCATCCACAGTGTCGAAGTTTTTCCCTAAGATTTTTCACAGCTTTTTTGTTTTACATTTTCGCCACCTCAAAAAGTTAAAAACCTTAAGAGTCCCACCATTTTAACTATATATTATTTATATTCTTTTTTATAATGATCAATATATTAAAATTAATATAAATACATATTTATCAAAAAAAATTGAATTTAAAAGAATGTACAATCAAAAATAAAAATTGGGTTATTATGAAATCTAATTGTATAAAAAGTATGTCCAAGAAAAATTTATATTTTTTTAATTAAAAAATATGTATCTATATGATAACTCTCAATTTTGAGAGTTATCTGTTGTTCAATACTCCTATTTGTATGTATCCATTTTGCCTCTATCTTATATTTTTTGTCTAAAATGTTTTTAAGAGATGATGAAAGGTCAAAGATTTGATTTTATTCTGAAAAACTGTCACTACTGGACAGTGCCTACGGCATGCCCACTTTCTGCCGACTGTGATAATTTCTTCAAGGAAGATTCAGATAAGATTAATTATTCTTTTCTGGATATTTAAAAGAATTAAATCTGTAGTCCATTCTGCAAATTTCACAAAATCTAAAGAAATGAGCCATTTTGTTTTAAAAAATGACTTAAAGTGTCTTTTCCCTTAAATTAAGGGAAAGACCATCTCTACATTTTTCATCCTTTCAAAAAAGATGACAAGGACAGAAGATCTTGCAAAAAGTGAAATGAAGTCCTTACCCCAAAGTTGGAAGAATGTTTTCTTCCTTTGGATAAAATAGATGTTCATTTCTCTCTTTCTCCTATAAATTGAAGTATTTACTCTCATTTGGTAGACACATCTTTTGGAGCATTTACTCTTAACTGAAGATCTGGAGCAGTGGTTCAAGTTTAATTTTCTGTATTTATTTCTTGTCTCGTATTTAATTTTAAGCTGCTTTTCTGTTCATTGTATGCCCACTGAGGGCAACAGTTTTAGTAAATTTCAATTCAAGTATTTCTTATACATTTCTCTTCTTCTTCTATGTTCTGTAATTTTATGATGAGCTAATCACCCCTTTTGGGTGTAAGTGTGAGTCAAATTTAAGACTAGTAGGCACACTTGGGTGTTGCATTGTTATTAATTATTAAGTTTGGTCACTTAAAGTTGGGACTTAAACTCAACGCGAATAAACCGATCACTTTAAAGTGTTAATATTAGATCCTTGATTCAGAGATCGACGGATTCGAAGTACGGCTTAAGTAATGCACAAAGATTTGAGAGAGTCTTTGATAATCACATAGAGATACGGATTTTGCATGTTTTTATTTAAGGTTCAAATATTAGTCGAGATTTACACTATAAAGATATTCGAGTATAAATCTTCAGGCTAGTGGAATTAGATATCTTTTTATCATTTAGCTAATTCGGCAATCTTAAAATTGATGAAAGTGGGAACTTTGTGGGCACTCCATGGGCATAGTATATGAAAATTCACTTTTGAGAGATTGAAGTTTTTATAGAAGTCCCATGAGTTTCTGACCATCCTGTTCCTATAATCTTTTTAAGGAAAACTTATACCCATTCCCATATCTTAATTTAAAAAGATTTATCTCGTATTTTAAAGTTTTTTACTAACAAAATTCAACTTTTACTCAAACCGAAACATGCTCAAGAAGTTCATGGAACTCTCTGATTCTCAGTTGTTCAATCACAGTGGAAACGATCTTGGTACTATACCACTTTATCACTTGAAGCGATCATAGTATCAGTGTGCACTTGTACCGCCACTATGGAGACTTTGTGCGCACTGTGTGAATACTTACGATTCCAAGTTGTCACTATACTATTTATACTATATTATAAAGCATTTGACAAAAACTCTTAAAAACTATTTTTTATGCATGAAATATTGTTTATTGATGCATATTACTTAAAATTTAAGATTACAAATAAACCATGCGTAAGTATAACTTATTAAAGCTGCATGTTTGAATTCGTGTAACTAACTGCAGATAAACATAATCAAATACAAGATAAACATTTCATTTTAAAGATAGAAAATCTAAAATATAATTAAGATAATTATCGAGTTCTAACAGAATACTTAATCATTATTCTTATAAAAACTTATATTATTAAATTAAAAATAAATTACTTCATTATTAAATTTAAATTAAATTATAATAAAAAATGAATTAAAGAAATTACCCAAAAAAACAAGAAATTTTTTAAGTAGTTAATTTGATACTAATATCGATATATTTATTTTCAAAATTTTATGATATCTAGAAATATATATTTAATTCAAAAATAAAAACATTATCCGTTTCTCAAACCCATATAAAGTGTATTTACAAGTAGATTGTACGTAAATACAACTTATTAAAACTCTATGTTTGAACTCGTGCAACTAACTGTAGATAAACATAATTAAATACAAGATAAACATCTCATTTTAAATGTAAAATAATTATGATAATCATTGAGTTATAACATAATACTTAATTATTATTTTTATAAAAAAATATATTATTAAACCAAAAATAAATTACTTCATTATTAAACTTAAATTACATTATAATATATTTATTTTTAAATTTATATTTTATTAAAGAATAAAAACATTATCAATATCTCAAACTCATATGAACTGTACTTACAAGTAGATTGTACGTAAGTACAACTTATTACTGCTTTATGTTTGAACTCGTGTAATTAACTGTTGATAAACATAATTAAATACAACATAAACATCTTATTTTTAATATAAAATAATTATGATACTATTGAGTTTTAACATAATACTTAATTATTATTTTTATAAAAAATCATATTATTAAACCAAAAACAAATTAATTTATTATTAGACTTTAATTAAATTATAATAAAAATTGAATTGAAGAAATTACACAAAAAAACGAACTTTTAAATAGTTATTTTAACACTGATATCGATATTTCTTTTTCAAAATTTTATGATATTTTCAAAATTATATTTTATTCAAAAAAAAAATTATCGTTTTCTCAAAACCATATAAAATGATAGAGATAAAAAATAAAGCAAAAAAATTAAAATCGAGATGTATCTCGCTGCATATATTGCACGAGTGTCATTCTAGTATTATAAAACATTTGATAAAAACTCTTAAAAACCATTTTTAT